CTTTTACTTGACTTCCAGGCTTGGTCAAGGTGGCACGGACAGTACCTGTGTGCCCAGAGGGACAGACAGAAGGCGGTCTCTGCAGTGAAGTACCACCAGCACTGGCAAAAGCGGAGCTCCCTGAGGGCCTGGCTTGAGTACGTGCAGCTCCGCAGACTGAGGAAGCAGAGGAACGGTAAGCAGACGTGCCGGCTGGGCTCGTGGTGGCTCCCTCTCCTGCTGCCAGTGAACGTGTTGAACTTGTTGACCAGGAAAGGGAAACAAATTGGGCTCTGTCAGCTTTTCCTCAGACCAAATGTTTAAAAGACAGAAGACCACATTCTAAGTGACGTGTTGGAATGAGAAGGTTGACCAAGAAAGCCCCATATCGTCTGCAATCCACATTGATTTCCTGACTGTTTGTTATATTTTACTCAATTAGGCTTTAAGAATGCTGCTTGCATCGTGCTTGTTAGTATTAATGTTATGGTACAGTTTCAACGGTAAACATTTTGTTGTTGTTGAGAACACAACACAAAGCAAAATACCCACCATTTCAACAGTTTCTCATTTACAGTTTGGTGACACCGGTTGCAGTTGAGTTTTGCAGCCATTCTCATCCTCCTCTTCTACGTTGTTTGTCCCCCGTTTTACCATGAGCGCCCAGCCCCGTGAGATCCTTATCTAATCCCCGTGAGATCCTTATCTAATCGTGTGAGTTGTTCCTAGTTGAATCCTGAATAGCGGGTTCTCATAAGAGAGCACAGTACTAAAGGCAGACATCATTTTTCTAGTTCAACTGAACTGGTGTTTAGTTTCGAATAGATTGCCTGGGATTTGACATTGTATTTTAAAGTTTACAGATTAGCTCTGGACAGGTTTCAGAGGTTGACCCAGCCGCCTTGGAGTACATGGTGGACCCAGTTTTGTGTTGCTTTTTAATCACACCACTAGAGAACAGCTCTCTGGTTTTTTTTAAATCATTTTATTGGGGGCTCATACAACTCTCATCACAATCCACACATGCACCCATTGTGTCAAGCACATTTGCACATTCATTGCCCTCATCATTCTCAAAACATTTGCTCTCCACCTAAGCCCCTGGCATCAGCTCCTCATTTTTTCCCCCTTCCTACCTCCTTTTCCTCCCTCATGAACCCTTGATAATTTATAAATTGTTATTATTTTTAGCTCCCTATGTCTTTAAGTATTATTTATCATTGTTATTTTTTACTGATGTTCCTGCTTTGTTGGGTGGCTCATCGTAATTTTCTTTTTGTTTTTACCAGTTTTATTAGCACTTCATCCGCGTGCCATGTAATGTAATAATTTGGTCTTACCAAGAAGAGCTGTACAGTGATCACATTCAGTTCTAGACCTTGGTCTTTTTGCTGGTACTCATGGTCATTCGTGTAATTTTTTCTAATTGTGATGTTATTGTAATGTTAGGACTTCCACTTCCTGACTTCAGCCCACGTCCTCAGGCCCTTTGCAGATTAGTGTTGAGGATCAGCTTGACCTAAAGTTCAGAAAGGCTCTTGTGTATGCCCACTGACAAGTTTTATGTCACAAAGTCAGTGGTCCTACCCACCCTCCCTTCCCGGTCCTGTGTGGACAGGTCAGCGTGAAGGCCAAAGCAAAGGAGTCTAGTCTTGCAGGCACTGTCAGCACACCCCCTTGACAGGGATTCTAGTTCACATTTCACACGATGCCTCAATGGCTTGGCTTACAGATTTTTAAATACCGCCTTCCTGAAGACCCTAACAGTGGCCTTCGTCCACTGGAAGCATGGTATCCTCTCCAAGCCCTTTCTTTGCATGGAAAAGACTTCCGGATGACTTCTCAGTGTTTTAAAAAAACAACCTCTATGTAGGAATTCTTTGTGGCGGTAGCTTTAAATCCCTGCCGCCTGCCAGCAGGGGCGTTCAGCTTGGTGTAAAGATCCTTCCAGCCGACCTTCCCACCTTGGGAGGGCTGCCTATTCATTGTTCCTTCTGTTGCAGAGATGGCTGACCGATTCTACCACGTCACTCTGCTCCAGACATGCTTCTGTGATTGGCAGTGGGCGTGGCAGTGGAAGGAGAGCTTGCATGCCCACCAGGCCCTCGTGGAAGTGCTGGCTCGGAGGATGGCACTGCGGCGGGCCTTCGTCCACTGGAAGCACTGTATCCTCTCCAGGGACTTAGTCCTCTCCACGCGGCCTCAGCCGGGCCAGAATGGGTGCCCCAGTGGGGAAGGCGAGCCGTGGGATGCAAGTGAACCCATTTCTGAGCCATTTAAGACCGTCCTCATCCCCGTCGGCTTCTTTTAACCATTTTGTGTGTGTTCACTGGGAATATGCAGGCAAAAGAGTTCATGGGACGTAGTTTGCCTTTTAGATAATAACAACAGCATGAACACATCTGCACCCACCACCCAGCTTAAGAAATGGAGCATTGTTAGCACCCTGCCTTCTCCCACTGCTGTATGGGTGTCATTGGTTTGTGGCTTTTCTCTGTCCACTAGGTGGTGCAAATAGCCTGCGCCGTCACTGTGGCAATAAATAAATCAGGCCACTGACTCCTAGCAAACTTAGAGGACTGAGCCATCCTGCTGCGTAGATGTCCCCAGGCTTCAAGCTAAGGAAAGCCCTTGGTGGTGCAGACAGGTAAGCAATTAGACTGCCAACTGCAAGGTCAGGGGTGCCAACCCACCAGCCAGTCCACGGGGGAAAGATGAAGTGTCCGCTCCTGTAAAGACTCACAGCCTCGGAAGCCCCCCCACAGGCTTGCCATGCATTGGAATTGACACCATGGCAGTGGGTTTAGGTTTTGGGGTGTGTTGGAATGAACCAAAGGCAGGGAGTTCACCTTTAAGAAAGTAGACTTTTAAAACAGAGAGAAAGTGGCCTGTCACACTTTCTTCCCCTCAGTGGCTCTTGGATGCAAACCACTGACTTGTTGGCTAGCAGCTGAGCGCTTAACCACTGTGCCACCACGGCCTTTTTCACGACGACCGTCAACCAAAACTGAACCCACCCCCATTCAGTTGGTTCCGATTCATAGCAAACCCCCCCCCACCCCACCCCCGCATGGAGCAGGCTGCTTCTTGGGGTTTCTGAGCCTCACTCTTTTTGAGAATGGATTGCTTCACCTCGACCCCATGGGGCGCTGAGGTCGGGGCCTGGGGGTGTTGAACTGCCGACCCAGTGCTTAGCCCACAATGTCACCAGGGCTCCATTTACGATGGCTGCAGCTCCCGTTTACTGGGTTTTTACTGTGTGCAGACACTGTGCATGAGCTGCTTACTCTTCACAGCGACCCCTGGAGTGGGGTGAATGTAACACACAAGCCCTGAGGAAGAGGAGCAGGCCCAGCTTTGGATAGGTTTGAAGTAGCTTACTCCAGCTTGGGTGGCCACTGTCTGTTTTCCTCTCATGGAATGGGCATCCGAGGGGAGAAGGGCAAGGCTAGTTGTATGAGAACTTACCTCGGTTTCCGTTTGCCGACTTCCCTCCAGGATTCTCAGGAGGGAGGACAGGTAAGAATCATCCTACTTGGCCACCCTGTTAAAGGAAGCCCAATGGCGGAGTGAGTTATGCTTGGAGCCGCTACCTGTAAGGTTAGCTGGACCCACCAGCCACACTTTCACTCTCGTAAAGATTTACAGGCTCAGCACCCCACAAGGGCAGTGCCGCCCTGCCCTGTAGGATCGTTCTGCGGTGGTGGGTTTTGTGTGTGGCATGCCCATTACCACCCGCTGCCAGGACCCTTGTGATGAGCCAGGACCAGGAATCGTGCTGTGGAGTGGGAGCCTTGTTGAAGTTGGGTCCCTTAACCTGCCGGCAGACAGGCTGCTGTGTGCAGAAGCAGCCGCCCAGCACAGAATGGCAGGGGATCATCGCCGACGCCACCTGCTGGTAAACACACCATAAGTCCTCAGGGCGCCCAAGGGCCCTGCTGGGAAATCAGAATCACCTGGTGCCCATAAAGGGCATCAGCTGTGATCTCCTTCCTGGTTGTGGGTGTCCCTGCTTCTATTTTGAATCGGAGGTGCTCACGGTGTAGGGCCGGAGGGGTCGGAGCTGTAAAGGAACCTCAGATGTCTTTTAAAATGGAGACACTCCTAGTCTGTAAGAGACATGAAAGTGGATTCGCTGTGCTCGAAGTAAGGTCCCCCTAGCTGGTCACCATTGCACAGGTGCTTTCTCCCACCGCTCTATGTGAGGTCCTCCACAGCACAGTGTAGAGCTGCCGTCAGTCCAAGTCCCTCGCTGCTCTTTCAGAAATAACCCCAAGAGTCGGGCTGAAAGGGAAGCTATGCAGAAGTCATGTTATTGATGGAGCTGGGGCCAGACCCTATATTCGTTTTGCCACCTCCCACCCCACCCCCGAGGCTTTTTCTACTCTAGCAAAACTGCATTTATAATTTTATTAACGTACAGCTTGACCCCGCTAGCAAGTTCCAAAGGTGTGAGGCCCTCTCTCTGTTAACAGGCTAGAGTGTGTGTGGTCCAGTCAGTACTGTGATGAGCCTGTTGTATGTGCTGGCCTGTGTGCGTCTCCACCCTTGCAGGGGAAGTGTGACACATTTGGGCGACTTCTCTCTGCCTGAAGTGGAGGACTGCCTTCCTTTGTTGTTATTTTGTATTTGGCTGGAATGTTGTAATTGGAGTGTTCATTTATCTCTTCCCAGTCCGTTTGCTTTAGAGCCCTCCAGGACAACGTGGCCCGGGCCCAGCTCCAGCAGATAAGGAGGAATCTCGCCCACCAGCAGCGCAAAGCCACGGTGAGGGTGGGCTTCCCTGTGGGGCCTCCACTGACGGCTGTACTCTTGTCCCCACCTTTGTGCCTAGAGATTTGCCCAGACCTTTAGACTCCAAAATATTAGTGCCTGTTTTCCTTGGTAATCCTTACCTGCTGACTTAGCAGCCCTTATTTTATTTATTTTTCCTTCCTTCATCTTGTTTTTCTGTTTGCTAGGAAAATTATCGAGCTAGAGGTCAGAGACCCTCGATTGTAGTGTGCAAACACACACTGGGTCTTGCATCATTGAAGGCTGTTTTCTTCGGTGGTTTACCCTGCAGCAAGAACTCTTTTCTCTCTACTCGGAGATTGTGTATCTGGGCACAAGAAGATAGGGTCACAATTCTTTGTTGTTGTTGTTGTTGTTAATTCTTTTAATAAACAATCATGCTATTCAGGCACAGTCATCAGCCACCATCAAACGCAGTGTGGTCTTCAGCGGGCGCCCTGAGCGGGGAAAGGTTTTGAGTAGGGCTGGCAGTTCACCTTCCTCCTCCTGCTGCTGCTTAACAGCTTTTCATGAGCAGACCCTGAGTTTCAGAAAACGAACCACACCTGGCAGACTTGCCGTCTGAAAAGAGGAACCACTGCTCTTTTGAGGGATGCCATTAGGGGGGCATCTCATGAAAGTCCAGGTTGCCTGATATGCTAACAACCATGTTTTTAAAAAATTATTATTAATCATTTTATTGGGGGGCGGCTCTTACAAATCTTACAACAATCCATCATTCAGTTGTATCAAGCATACTTGTACATATGTTGCCATCAACATTTCCAAAACATTTTCTTTCTACTTGAGCCCTTTGTGTCAGCTCCTCTTTTTTCCTCCCTTCCCTCCCCCCCTCGTGAATCCTCGATCAATTTATATTATTATTGTTATTTCATGTCTTACACTGTCCGTTGTCTCCCTTCACCCACATTTCTGGTTTTCATCCCCCGGGGGGGGGGGGCACTATATATAGAACCTTGTGATGGGTTCCCCCTTCTCTCCCCGCCCCCCTGCCCTCATGATACCGCTACTCCCACTTCTGTCCCTGAGGTTTTATCTGTCCTGAATTCCAAGTGTCCAGAGCTCTTATCTGAACCAACGTGTGTACTCCAGTCTAGCCGGATTTGTAAGGTAGAACTGGTCGTGGGAGTCGGGGAGGAACATTCAGGAACTAGAGGAATGATGTGTGTTTCGTCGGTGTTATACTGCAGGTCACAATTCTTGTTGGTTTTGTCAATTATGAAAATTTCTGAGCAGACAGAAAATAAGGAATTATAGTGTATGTTACTCACCGCTTAGGTTCAGCAGTTTGCTCTATTTCTTTTTCTTCACCCATAATCATTTCAAGGTATACTACAAATACTGCAGTTTAAATCTAAGCATTTTTGTCCCCAAATAAAGGAAGTTAGTTTTCTTATATAGCGATGATGTTACTGCCATCCCTAGAAAGTTAATAGCTATTTAACATTACCTGATACTTAGTCTAAGGAGCCCTGCTAACTGCAAGGTCAGCAGTTCAAACCCACTAGTTGTTCCTTGGGAGAAAGAGAAGGCTGTCTGCTCCCATAAAGGTTTTACAGCCTTGGAAATCCTGTATAAGGTCTTTGTGAGTCGTAATCCACATGATGGCGTGCGTCTTCAAATTTCCACAGTTGTCCCCAAAATGTCTTTATAGCTTCTACTTATTTTTTAGGTCACATCTTAGAGTTTTATGCAGTGAGTGGTGTTACATCCGTTGTAAAGAGAAGAGTCAGACCGTTTATAAGGCTTCAGAGCATGTTCTCAGATTTCCAGCGTGAGCTAGTCAATTAAAATTAATAGAGAAAAAACAGTAGTTGTCCATGGGACAAAGTCAGAATATATAGGAGCGAAAATTAAAAAAACAACAACAAACCTCTGCCATCGAGTCGATTCCAACTCATCGTGACCCTATAGGACAGGGTAGAAGCACCACTGTGGGTTCTGAGACAGCCACTCTCTACAAGAACAGAAAGCCTCCGCTGTCTCCCGAGGAGCAGCTGGTGGTTTCAAACTGCTGACCTTGTGCTTAGCAGCCCAGCAGGTAGCCTGCCACACCACCAGGGCTCCATGTATAGGAAAGAAAGTATAATAATAAGGCGAAAAACCAAACGTATCTGTGTCCCACCCACACCCATTAATGCCTTTTCAAAGTTTCAGCTTAGACAGTTTTATTTACATATAACGCACATGCCATGCAATTCAGTGGTTTACACATATTAGAAAGAGTTGTGCCATCACCACCACTGTCAACTTTAGAACATTTTCTTCTTTCTTGTGTTCATTATTATTAGCTCCCCATTCCATCCAACCTCCCCTGCCATAACCCTAAGGAACTATTAATCCAATTACTGTATCTATGGATTTACTTATCCTGAATTTCATAGAAAGAAAAACATACCCAACAGCAATCTCAATATAAAACAAAAAACGTCAACCCAGAAGACAGCAGGAAGTTATGGGTCAAAAGGAAGAACAAATGATAAGGTGTTAAATTTTAACCTAACTACATCTCCGTGAATCCACTTCCAAACACACTGTGTGATAGCAAGGCTGCCCCATCCTTGGTCATTGGTCAGGATTCTTCAATGTGGGGACTTTGCAGATGGATTTGGGCTTTCAGGGTTATCTGTAGCCTTCTGCAAATCGGGTGCTCAGAATTTAAGCTCTAATACAGTTCCTGCCTTCTGTATTAACTTGTGTGATCTCCAGTTCTTGGATCACACAGGCTGCAGTGTTTCTTCTCTGTGCATTCAGCTGACAACTCACGTAGACGGCTCTGACAGTCATGCTTTTTAAATGACTGACTTTCAGCAAGGGCGGGCCAGTGTACCCATAGAATGGCCCTTATTCTCCAGTTTTCTGCTGGTTTCCTCACACTGTCATTTAATTCTCCTCCATTCTGGGTTGTTGCTGGAATCCAGAAGTTAGAGCTTAAAGCTTGATTACTCTTTTTCTTTTTTTTTTGCAAGTCAGCCTCATAGCTAATCATCTGTGACAGGATTGACTCTTAATTTCTGAAGAAGGCCCGGGTTAGAAATAGAAATTCCATATTTCCATCGAGCAGAAGGCCCCTTTTTGCTGCTCATCTTGCCCTATGGCACGCTGCCTGGCTCAGCTGCCGTTCTTTTTGCCAGCCCGTTCTGCATTGGCTGTTTGAGTCTGAAGGAAACCCGCTTTGAGGGTGGTTATGGTCTGGCAGAGTAAGGATTTATTTAGGGAGATGATTTTACCTTCCTCTCAGTACTTTTCCATTTTTCCTCTTGCTCCAGCTGCTGCGCAGGTTCTGGGACTGCTGGCAGAGTGGGCTGGAACTGCGGGAGGAACGGGAGCAGCTCTCCTTAATGCACGCCGCCGGGGATCACTACAGGTGGGGACTGTTGTTTCCCACGCTGACCACTGGTCTCCTCCACGCATTCTTGTGGCTGATTCAGAAAAGCTGAGATGCTGCTGTCAGCCTTTTGGCCTGTCAGATGGGAAGCCTTGTGGGGTTAGGCATCAGACTTTTAACAGCTAGGTTGGTGGTTCAAACCCACCAGCTGCAGGTGAAAGATGACGGCTCCCTGCTCCCGTCAAGAGTTACAGCCTAATCAGACTTGAACAGTTAAAACTATGTCAGTTGATCTCCCCTTTTCTGCATTTTTTGTTTTGTTTGTTGATATTAGGGTGTATCTCAGGTGTTATGTACTTGAAGGTCATGTTCATGAAGTTGTGTTGTATGTTTTTATGTGTTTCAGTGTATAAAACCCAGGATTGATGAACGTAGGGACAGCAAGTAGAATAAGGGTTTTGGGGTGGTGGGGGTGCAGTGGTGGTGGAAGCTAAAAGAGAGACAATGTCAAGGAGTCCAGGAAGAAAAAGAATGTTTGGAAACGGATTGTGGTGGCAATTGCATAATTCTGTTTGATGTGATTGAAATATGGAATGATATATGTATTAACTCCCAATTAGTACGATTAAAAAAAATTATCTGGCAGAACCCCCCTCCCCCCAAAAAAGAGTTATAGCCCAAGAAACCCTGTATAGCAGTGGTTCTCAACCTTCCTAATGCCGCGACCCTTTAATACAGTTCATGTGGTGACCCCCAACCATAAAATTATTCTCGTTGTTACTTCATAACTGTCATTTTGCTACTATTATGAATTGGGACCCCTGTGAAAAGGTCATTTGACACCCACCCCCAACGGGGTCGTGGCCCACAGGTTGAGAACCGCTGCTCTGTAGGGTCACTGTGAGCTGGAACGGACTAGATGACGGTGGGTTAGGGTTTGGGGTTAGTGGAAAGCAGAGTAAAGAGGTTTGCACTAGCTCCTGCCCTCAGCAGGTGGACGTGTCTGTCCACCGCCTCACTGTCTTGCCCTCGAGCTGGCACATCTTTGACTTGGTGCAACAGCTGTGCATCCATTTTCAAAGAGAAAGCTCTGGCCAGGTGGACATTTATGGCTCCACCCTGCCTTCATGGCGGACCATGACTTCACATGGTTAGCATTAGCCATTCAGTGAGAGAAATAGAAGCAGTGTCTATCCATGGGGGAGAGTCAGAAGATATCCAAAGGCAGGAGGAAGGGGGATGGATTGAAGGATGTAAAAATAAACTAAATGAAAGGGGGAACCAACTACAAGGATGTTACATATAACCTCTTCTCTGGAGGTCGGTCAACAGAAAAGTAGGTGAAGGGAGACGTTGGACAGTGTAAGAGATGTCAAAATAATAATGACTTGTAAATTATCAAGGGTTCACGAAAGAGGGGGGAACAGGGAAGGAAGGGAAAAAGTGAGCTGATGTCAGGGGCTCGAGTGAAAAGCAGATGTTTTGAGAATGATGATGGCAACAAATGTGCAAATGTGCTTGACACAATGGATGTGTGGATTGTGATAAGCGTTGTACGAGGCCCTAATAAAATTATTTAAATAAAAATAAAAGTAAACTAAGAATAAAATGTCCAGATCCCTTGGTAGAGCCCCTTCATCTGACTCCTCAAAAGTAACACTTCTGCTGCCAGAGATGCCCCGTAGACCTTCGCCAACAATCGGAATCCTGTGCCTAAGAGTCGGGCGCTTACATTGCTGCTTGTCCAGTCTTCCCTTCGACCTCTGAAAGAGGGGCGCAGTCACCTGTCCCCAGACTCTGCGGGCACACAGATGTCATTCTTACCTGTGCGTGGTGACAGTGGCTTGCATTCTGTCATGGGCTGCTGGAGAGAAGATCTGTCTTCGAGATGAGTCTGACCCTGGTGAGGGCCAGGCGTTTGAAACCACTAAGTAACACGCTAGTCATTGGCGTCGTCCATGAGAAGCACGACACAGATCTTAAAGACAGACGTTTTGTAGTAGAAAGATGCTGCTGTTGGGTGCCTTTGAGCAGGTCCAACCCATCGCATCCTTCTGTACAAGAGAACTCTGCCTGCCCCACTCCATCCTCACACCTGCTCCTAGGCTCGAGCCCATTGTTGGGTATAAAAACAGATAGCTCTTGTTGGTTTTTTCAGTCATTTTATTGGGGGCTTGTACAGCTCTTATCACAATCCATCCATAAATCCATCGTGTCAAGCACATTTGTACATCTGTTGCCATCATTTTCAAAACATTTTATTTCTACTTGAGCCCTTGGTGTCAGCTCCTCATTCTCCACACTCCCTCCCTCATGAACCCTTGATAATTTATAAATTATGATTTTTTTCATGTCTTACACTGACCGATGTCTCCCTTCACCTACATTTCTGTTGCACGTCCCCCAGGGAGAGGGTTATATGTAGATCATTGTGTTCGGTTCTCCCTCTCTTCCCCCACCTTCCCCTTCCCCTCCTGGTAGCACTACTCTCATGATTGGGCCTGAGGGGTTTATCTGTCCTGGATTCCCTGTGTCAAATCAGTTATTTCTTTTCCTCCAATGGTCTAATCAACTAATTGGCATAGTTAGAGGTATAGCTTTGGAGCATTTATTTTAATGATCAGAATCCACATATTTAATAGATGCATTCAGAGCTCTCTCTGTGCTGAGTCTTGGTTCACAAAAGTGAATGTGGCTCTCGCTTTCACGATCGCATGGGTGTGCATGTCACTCTCCTGAGGTCACCAACTCTGAAAACCCAACTTGGAAACCGGAAGTCGTGCCTAAGCCATGCCTTATTGGTCTGTGCCATTTCAGGACAACACTGCTCCTCAGGTGTATCAAGCAGTGGGTACAGCACGTGCAGAGGAGACGCCACAAGCAGGTATGGAGTCCTTCGAGAGCAGGTAAACTTTGGACCCATTTGCTTTGGAAAGATTCTTTAAGAAGACTGTGACATACTGATTTTCAAGAAAGGACACAGTAACAGCCCCAAAGTCTATCTCCAGCCTTCCGCCCAACTCCCCCCCTGGTTCACCTGCTAGGAAAATGCTGGTGCTCGCCCAGGGAAGTGAGCGTTCACCAGTCATGACTTTCCTTACCCAGACTGAGTTGGCATTAGGTGAGCCAGCCCGTCAGCAGTGGGGCCTGCAGGTAATACTGTTTGCCAGTGCTCCAGTGGGAGACGTGGAAGTGCCACCCCCCCCACCCCCGTGGGTAGTGGGGTGGGGTGGGGGCCAGAGTGATGAGTCAGTGAAGGCAGCTTGAGATAAACAGGTTAAGTACTAAATACCCCCGAGGATGCAAAGCAGAGGCAGCCCTGTGCTCACAGGGCTGAGTGCTTCGGCGCCAGAGGTAGGTCAGTTTCCACTCACTGAGGGTAGTGGTCCACAGAGCTGGGCTGAGGGGTGTTTGGAGGCCCTGGGCAGGCTCCCGGGAGGTGAGTATTCACACAACAGCGATGCACAGGGGTGTTGCAGCAGAAAGGAGTGCTGCCTGCTCTCTTTCTGGCCTCCCCAGTGGCCGTGAGCAGAAGAAACACAGACCCACCTCCAGAAGAGGACAGTGCTGGGCTGTCTCCCTCCCTCGGCTGCTGGAGTCTCACACATGAGTCTATAAAGATTTTGGCTATCTCCCCGTAGTGGTAGGACAGAATCCAAATTCTTTAGAAGCCTACAAATGCCTTTGCACGCTCTTCCTGTACTTTCAGTTCTCTCCCTAGCTGCCCTCTCGGCTCCAGTATTCCATCCTCCCCCAGCCCAGCCCCGTCTGCCAACCTGTGTCAGAACAAGTGTCCCATCGTCACTGACCGGGGTATCCCTCCTGCTGTGAGGGAGAGTGAGCTCTTTGACAGCACAGCCTCTTTCTCGTCACATCAGTGCAGCCCAGGGCTTGGCATAGATGCTAGTCTTTGGATGATGAGTGAGTGAACAGCGCCCTTGGCTGCTTCAAGGACCATCTCAGCTCTTGGTATTTGGATGCTACCCACTCACAGGCTAGGGAGTTCCACAGCACAGTGGTTAAACGCTTGACCGCTGACCAAAAGGTCACTGCTTTGAACCCACCATCCAGTCTTCGGGAGGAAGTTAAAGATTTACAGTCTTGGAAACCCTACGGGACAGTTTTCCTCTGCCCTATAGAGGCGCTACGCGTCTGGACAGCAGTGGGCATGGTGTACTCCATTGCACAAAACAGCCGTTTGAGGGCCTTGTATGACATAGGGGTCACATCGTTTTACCTGTAGGCAATGAGGCATCTTTTTTCATGGATGGAAACCCAAGAAGTTACAGTCATGCTTTAACAACCACCACGCATACCCCTGTGCTTCCTCCTGGAAGTGTTTGTTTGATCAGAGAAGTAAACGTGCTTCTGTCCAGTGTCTGATCAATCAGTAACATAGTAGCCTCTCGTATCATGGTATAAAACCTTAAAGAATTTGTTTAACAAGCCAGCACTATAAACAAAGCCAAATGGTGAGAAAACTATTTGTGACATACACACAGCACTGAGACATTTCTGAGTGTCCACAGAGACTGTATCATTGTTTAATCCTGACATAGTAAGATGGATGATGAATATAAACACATGTCACGGAGGAAAGAAAATCGTGCGAGCGCGTGTGATAATAGATGAAAAGCTACTTCTCACCACTTCTGATGTGGCAAGCAAAACACTTGCCCCTGTATCTCATTCACCTTCCAGATTGATAAAGATAAAAATCGATGATTTCCTCCTTCTCTCTCTCAGTGCTATCCTGTGGGAAGCGGTGCTTCCTCAAGCGTGTGAGCCTGGGCGGTCGTGTCGACAACCGTAAAGTAAAGGCCCCTCTGTGCTTTCCTCCAGCTGCTGCAGGCCGGAGCAGATGACCACTTCCAGCAGAGAGCCCTGCCCGCAGCCTTCCGGACTTGGAGGAGCCTCTGCCGGCGGCACCAGCAGGAAAGGGCTCGGAACGCCAGGGCAACGCGTTTTCACAGGTACCTGGCTGCGGAGTGGAGCTGCCGTTTCAGGTCGGCACTGCTGACCACACAGTGTGTACTTTGCTCTTCAGCCCATGACCCCAAGCCCTAGCTCTGCCGGCTCTTCAGTCGTGTGGGCCCATTGATTTCATCCAGTGGAAGAGGCAGCCAGTCCTTCCCCTAGGGGGCCTTCTGGGCAGCTTTGTGGTCAGTGCTTTAAAATCAGAGTAGATGTCGTACGCTCTTTCCCTCACTGCGAGCTGCTAGGAGCCATTAAAGCAGCCCATTAACTTTCCACCTCAGAGCGTATCGGGACTCAGCAGACATTTCCCTGAAGTGCTTGGTCCCTGGTCTGTTCAACTTGGCTTTTTGATGCCTTGAAGTGAAAGGTGTCGACAGCATCAGAAGAATTAGGAGCTGATCGACATCATTTTAGCTCCTCTGGGGACAAATGGCACATGCCGGTCCTCACTGAGTGCTGGTGGGATGTTGTGGAGAAATTATGAATGGCTTCCTGTGTCTCTGCCACTGTGTGGGCAAGGGGTGAGGGGAGAACAGCAGAACAGCATTGTGACATCTTTATCTTACTACATTCATCCTGTTAGCAGTTCTCAGTGATATTACGACCAGGCCATTTTACAGATGAGGTGGTGGTGGTGGCGGTGGCTAGGTACCATGGAATCGGTTCTGACCCAAAGCGATCGTATGCACAACAGAACGAAATACTACCCTGTTGTGCACCCTCCTCACAGTTGTTCCTATGCCTGAGCCCATTGTTGCAGCCACTGTGTCAGTCCATCTCCTTAAGGGCCTTCTCCTTCACGGCCCCTCTACTGTACCTGATAGATGTTCTTATCCAGGGACCAGTCCCTCCTGACACCAAAGTATGTAACAAAGTTTCTCTAAACTACGTAAGATCAAGTCGTCATCCTTGCCGCTAGAGAGCACTCTGGCCATCCTTCCTCCAAGACAGATCTGTTTGTCCCTTTAGGAGTCCAAGGTACTTTCAATATTCTTCTCCAGCACCACAGTTCAAATGCTTTAATGCTTCATTGTCTTTCTTATCGATGTTGAATGTGCATATGAGGCAGTGGAAACTATCACGGCTTGGGTGAGGCATACCTTAGTCCTCAGAGTAACATCCTTGTTCTTCAGTACCCTAAATAGGTTTTGTGCAGCAGATTTACCCAATGCAATACATCTTTTGATCTCTTGACAGCTGCTTCCACAGGCATTGATTGTGGATCCAAGCAAACATCCTTGACATCTTCCATCTTTTCTCCATTGATCATGATGTTACCGATTGGGCCAGTTGAGAGGATTTTATTTTGGTCTGTCTTTACATTGTCGAACTGTGGTGGCTTGGGCATTGCTGTGGTGCTGGAAGCTATGTCACTGGTATTTCAAATGCCAGCAGGGTCACACAAATTGGACGGCTTTCAGCAGCGCTTCCAGACTACAAACGGGCAACGAAGAAGGATTCCGCTGCCCGCTTTGGAGGAAGTAGCCGCCGCAAACCTTCCGTAGCTTAGAAACATTGTCAGATGCTGAGGGCCTGTGACTGGAAGCAGAACACTGTTGGAGGTGGTGCCGGAGGATGGGTCCCTTGCATCTGAGGGCACTCGAGATGTGACTGAGGAGGAGCGGACTGCTGGGAGTGGAGTCCACCATGGTGACGTGAGCCAGGGAAAGCCATGGACGTGGAGCCTTGGGATCTTCATTTGCTGACGGGGAACGATTTGCTGACGGGGAACGACTCAAGGGAATGGGGAACAGCTGCAAAACAGCAAGTAGTGATCAGAACTCGGAATGTGCGAAGATAGAAATTGGAAGTGGCGAAACATGAAATGGAACACAGAAAGATTGATATCCTTGGCATTAGTGAGCTGAAAAGGTCTGGCATTGGCCCTTTGGAATCAGAAACCCATCTGATGTACTATGCTGGGAATGCCACCATCAAGGGGAAGGTATGGCATGGGTCGTCAAAAAGGACATAGGAAAATCAATGAAGTACAACGCCGTGTGTGATAGCATTTGTATCCCCCTCCAAGAAAGTCCAGTCGGGTTTGGGAATTGCTGCTGCTACCGTTGTTGAGGAAACCATTGCGCTCTGAAGGCTGGGGTGCAGACAGTGTGAAAAGACATTTGGTGCGGTCATCACTCTAGATACATGGCAAGGTGGTGGCAGAAAGCTGAATGAAAATAAAGCTTTGACTCCAAAAAAGCAGGGTTGATCCCAGATTTACAAAATTTCTGTGCACCAGCCAGGTTCTCATTACTGCCATGGCTGTGCCCACAAAAAGGGCATCTGTGTGGGGAAAGGTTTGCAATACCAGGAACTACAAGCAAAGTCTGTCTAGCTTACTGATGACGTTTCTGGCATTTTACTTTCTGCTCTGAACTGTTAAGACGTAGCATAGATGTACAAGTTACAGAATAACTTGTCAGACAAATAATCAAGTTTGAGGGAAATTGATTGATATTCAATATTTTGCTCTCAAGAAGGAATAGTAAAAATGTAATTGGTTTCTTGTCTTAAGTTGTTTTTCTTAACACATTTTATTCAACTAGAATAAGTAGCTTATTTAATGAGAAAAGAAAATTCCCAGTTCTGTATGCAGTTTTTATCCCACATTATTCATGTCATCCCTGTTGTTTTTACCTACTTCATTTGTACGTATTGGAAGAATGAGTAGGAGATTATTGATGTTTTGTTCTGGGCCTGGCATCTAGGTTTATCATTCCTACTGATTTTTGCTTCCCTATTATTCCCTTACTGGTTGTCTGGTTCCCTTACTGCAGTTTCTCGGGGTTTTTAATTGTCTGAAAACATTGCTGCAGAATGAATGCCCGTTTGTAATGCCCCAGAGTCAAATCAACAACCAGTTAGATTTGTGTACTTGGGTGGTGGTGGTTCTTGATGTGAGATTTCCAGTTCCTTTGTTATAAGAACAAGGAACATTCAGTATGCCCAAATTCATGTGCCAGACTCCAGAAATACATGTGTACACACATTACCTTGAACTCAACCGTCACGAAAGCCCTAAAAATAAAACCGTGTTTGTCCATGAAAAAGAAAATCCAAGCGATACAATTGCTATGCAAATGTATGCACCAACCACATAAGCTAGTGATGAAGAAATGGATGAATTCTACCAACTTCAGTGTGAAATTGATCAAACATGCAGTCAAGATGCATTGATGATTTTTGGTGATTGGAACGCAAAAGTGGGAAACAGTAGTTGGAAAACATGGATTTGGTTGTTATTCGGAGCTATCAGGTCAATTCCAACTCATGTACAACAGAAGGAAACGCTAGCTGGTCCCGTGCACAATTGTGAAGGTTGGGCCCGTGAGGGTTGAGCCCATTGTTGCAGCCACTGTGTCAGTCCATCTTGCTGAAGGCCTTATTTCGCTGACCCAATCTCGATGCTCTTTTCCGGCGGCTGGTCTCTCCTGACAACACACCCAAAGTACAAGACACAAAGTCTCACCATCCTCGCTTGTAAGGAACATTCTGACTTTACTTCTTCCAAGACAGGATGGTTGGTTCTTCTGGCTGCCCACGGTCCTTTCAATGTCCTTCACCAACACCACGGATCAAATGCTTCAGTTCTGCTTCAGTCTTCCTTGTCATCGTCTAACTGTCACGTGCGTATGAGGCCATCGAAAACACCATGGTATGGGCCTGTCTTATCCTCGTCCTGAAAACGACACCTTTGCTCGCCAACGCTTTAAAAGACGTTTGTGCAGCCAAGTTGCCCAATGCAGGCTGTGGGGGCCAAACATTGAATAATGCCTTCAAAGTGATGAGAGGAGTCCCTGGATTTTCAGAGAGCAGCCTTGGCTGCTGAGTATTTAGCGCTGTCACTGGAGGCAGAGCAGACCAGGAGACTCCTTCATAGGCCACGTGAAGGATGGGGAAGACCAGATCTAGATTTCATCTTCTGTGGTGGGGGTGGACTGTCTTCTTTTTTTTCTTAATTGTGCCATGAGGTGTCCTGGGGGGCTGGTTGCCAGTTGGCAGCTCAGAGATCCACCCAGCAGCATGTCTGGAGACAGGCCTACCCAATTTAGGTTCCATACACTTCCTGGTTCACGAGCAGTGGAGTGTCAGAGAGCCAGCTGGAGGCTGGGCAAACCCGAGTTCCAACTTGCTTTGCTTTCTGGCTCTGTGATCACTTGCAAGGTAGCCATTCCTTCTGGTCATCCATCTCCTCACGTAGAAGATGGGGACGAGGCGATCATAGTCCCTCCAACAGGATTGTCTGTCATAAAAGTAAAATGGAAATAGAGGAAAGAACCAGGAGGCAAAGGACATTTATAGAGGCCTAAATAC